CCCCAAAACCCCAAAACCCCAAAACCCCATGAAGAGGGAAATAGCTCAATGAGAAAAATGATTAATTACCATAATTTAGTTAAACATCATATAATAAAAATTATTAGTGCCCTTAAAGTGTCAAAAATTATCATCGAGTGCTTGATTTAGAGCCTCATTTAGTTTCTATGTGCTCATAAACATTTTCTAAACTGCGCTTTCACTTTACTTAATAAGTTCGTCAAATTTACGTATTTGCATCTCCTTTTCCTCTGAGTTCATTAATACTTTCTGCTTTTCTCTTTCGAGTTAGTTTATTTACTCATCAATCTAGGTTACTGCCATCCTATCTCTCATTATAATTGTAGTTAGTTCATCTCTTTTTTTCTTAAGCTCTAGAATCTTAAGTTTCAAGTTATTAAGAGAGTCGTAATCGTTCATTATTTGTTTATAATTCAAATTTATAATTTTAAATTTACAAATCAAATTGAACATACATTTAGACTCAAATTAATATTATATTAGCAAATAATCAAAAAGAAATGGAATCAATAGATCGATATTATGATAATAATGCTCCTAAAACGTAAAAGTAGCCCAAATTGATTGAAGTTGAAAAATATTTGAAAGGTTATATAAAGGAGATCAAATTACCTGTCGACAAAAACTGCAATCTATATCATTCAGCACTATATTAAAATACAAAAGATAAAGTTAAAATAGTATGTTCACCATCTTAGTTTTTTGAGAAGAATTAATCAAATTTGAAATCTTAGAAAGGAGAGGGATACTAATTACTCTCTTTGATGAATGATTAATAACTCGGGTATTAGATATGCAATGAGGAATGGTCTGAAGATTAAGAAGAAGATCCCAACAATCCTCATATTCAAAGAACCTCTTATTCTAGATCAGTGGTAATAAATGATAGAATCTATATTTTCACAAATTTATCTGAAAATATATCATCACCCCTAAAGATTATTGATCTTAATTTGAAAAGATTATTTCCTATTTAGTTCAAGAAATTTGGACCAACTACAACAAGAATTAACTATTCGATATCAAATTACAAGCATAAGGTATATTTTTATGGAGGATTAAATGAAAATTCTAAAATTCTAGAGACTATGGATGAATTTGATGCTACTACTTATAAGTTCCAATAGGTGAAATACAGACTAGATTTTAAGCCTAAGGGCAGACAGGCTCATTGCTCTATTGCTATTGACTAATACAATATGTTTATTATTGGAGGATCATATTCTGATAACTTAATTGATCCTTAACCTATTCCTGCAGATGAAATGATTTTAAATTTTGACATGGATGCTTCTACATTTCAGCAAATAACAATTAAACCAACTGAGACATCAGATGCAATTCCAAATAATTTAGTTTATCATTCTGTATTTAGACTAGATGCTATAAATCTAGGAATACTTTGGTATGAATATGAAGCAATTAATAATCAAGATGAAAATAAGAGAAGATTAATGAGGTCAACAATATATAACATCACGAAATACACTTGGAGAGACATTAACCTAATAGGAAATGATTTGCCTATATTTAGATTTGGTCACTCAATTTTAACTTACTATAGTAAAGAAAGATTAGCCGATAGAATTCTCATACTTGGCGGGATAGATTATTCAGATCCGACTAATAAGTAAAATGAGTTTGTAGTATAAGACTTGGACTTCTAGTTATCCTAAAAATTTGAATAAAGTGGAAGTGGAAGCCTTTCCACAGAAAAGAAATAAAGTAATTTAAAGTAATTCGCAGAGGATAGTGAGTTATCTGAATAACAGAGCTCATAAAATGCTGGTGGTACAAGTGGTGCAAAAAAAAAGAAAAATAAGAAAAAATCATCCTAAAATACTGGAATCTAGGATTGAATAGGTAAATTAAGTTGCTTAAACAATTTCAAAATATTCCGTGCAAAATAAATATAAAATTCCAATCATTATTTACCTCATCAATTTTTATTCTAGGGGTTTTGGGGTTTTGGGG